CCACAGAAGGAGCTGAGAGCAGCATATGATCAAAGGCAAAGGCAGGGAGAGACCTTCACCCACCAGCAGCCAGCCAGCACATCTGGTGAGCCTGGGAAGTGGCATGTGACAGAAAGGAAGACGGGAGTAGTGAAGTCACTGTTACAGTTATGGCAGCCAACAGCTAATTGAGTAGTCATGTTAAAAGCTCTTCATGGGCCAGCCTGTGGCCTGGTGATTGGGGAAAACGGATCACACATGGCCTTCCATTCTGTTTGAGTCCTGGACTTTGCAACTTGAAAAACACACTGGGCACGTACATAACCAAAATTCAAGCAGGAGGGAGAAATGGAGAAGGGACTGGCATGCCCGCACCCTGTTGAGGGATGCTCCTCTCCTTTTCCCTCTCTTTCTCTCTCTCTGGTGAGCATACACATCCTGTGGGAGGTTTTTAAAAAATCCAACCAACCAACAGACAAAAAGGCAGAAAAGAACTTCATATTGAAAAACATCTGAAGTAGACAAATATAGTGTGGATAAGTGTGTCATAGCCCTAGTTGGATTATGCTATTCATGTAAACATACCATCTTTTCCTTTTAAAAAGAAAAAGGTCTAAGATATTATCAGAACTCTCGAATACTTGTCAGGCCAATTGTCCTTTGAGGTTGATACATAGATTGTAGTTTCAAAACACAGTATCTGGAGGTTCTTGGGCATGGGTCACAAACACGAGGACCTACATTTACAATACAAATAACATTTCTTAGCTTATTTTATCAGCCCTGATCTAAGTATGAAGGTCACATTAGGAAGGACTGATAGTGCCAGCTTTCAGGCAGTGCTATTCACTGCCTCCGGCTCTGGGCAGGAAATGTGTAGTAGGCTGGGTGGGTGTGCTGGTAAGGGCGGGCAGTCATATTTGGAAGGAGGAAAGAGAACTCTTGATGTTATCCAGACTCGTTTTGTTGAGGATCTTATGTCCATCTTCTTTTAGTGCCAAAGAATCCTTTACTTCAGCTAAAGCCAGCAGCAGTGAAAGATAAGAAAAGAAACAAGAAAAAGACCCCCGTCAGTCCCAAAAGGAAGATTCAGAGTCCTTTGAAAAACAAGCTGCTTAACAGCCCTGCACACACACTGCCAGGGGCCTGTGGGAGCCCCCAGAAGCTAATGGATGGGTTTCTAAAACATGAAGGAGCAGCTGCTGAGAAACCCCTGGTGACTTTTTAAAAAATACCTTCCTAAACTTTAATCTTTCTCAGTTATTAATGTACTCAATATTGTATAAGTACAGCAATTGTATCCTTCTGTTTTCTTAACAGGGAGAACTCTCTGCTTCCACTTCAGGTGTGCCAGGCCTTTCTAGCTTGCAGCCTGATCCATCTGGCTGTGTGAGACCCCCAGCACCCAATCTAGCTGGAGCTGTTGAATTCAATGATGTGAAGACCTTGCTTAAAGAATGGATAACAACGATTTCAGGTTGGCTTGGCCTGTGTTAGATACTCAAGACTGAGGTGTAGCAATCCTCTTATTTCAGAATGATATGACCAAACTGTAGAAACCTAATTCATTTCTTACTCTAATAAGCTTGCACGAGCTAGCTATATCCAATCGAAATTCTGGGCCTTGCTTTTGAGTTATTTGTAACCCATTCTGATAGCTGTAAGTTAGTGATATAGTTGGTGAAAATTGAGTTTTCCTTTATCCCTGCAGATATCTGCCTTTGTCCTTCAGAAAGATTCCATGTTTCTCACATGAGGTTTTTCTCCTCCCTAGATCCAATGGAAGAAGACATTCTGCAAGTTGTGAAATATTGTACTGATTTAATAGAGGAAAAAGATTTGGAAAAACTGGATCTAGTTATAAAATACATGAAAAGGTAAATTATTCAATACTTTTATTGAAGGAGATAAATGACATATCACAGTAGCTGAGGGTGTACTAAGTTTTAAACTCTCTGGCAAACTGTACTAAAAAGGTGACTTTAATTTCAAATCCCAGAGCAAGAAGTGCTATATTAAGTGTTGCCCTCTAGGTAATATATACCATGTGATTAAAATCATTGGAAATAACTTTTTAAGTGTTCTAGGATTATTATTATTATTTTTAAAGACAGCATCTCACCCAAGTACTGCTCCTCAGTCCTCATGCACAGCTGAGACTGTAGGCAGATACCATGTGCTCAGCCTGTAGGGTCGACCCAGAGTCCAACTTGGGCCTCCCATGTTGCCTCAACCTGTCAAGTAGCAGCATCAGCCACAGTGGGGCTGAATTTTTTGTATGCCAAATCAATTTTTACATACAGAGAACCTGAAGACTTGTTAAACTGATTTTTGAAGAAGGAAATTAGTCTTGGTGAGTGTCCCTAATGTTTCTTCTTCCCCCACCTTCAGGTTGATGCAGCAGTCGGTGGAATCAGTTTGGAACATGGCATTTGACTTTATTCTTGACAATGTTCAGGTGGTTTTACAACAGACTTATGGAAGCACATTAAAAGTTACATAAACGTTACAGGGAGCCTGGCGCTCTCCGCTAGCTGTGCCATAAGTGCTTGTGAGGTATTTGCAAAGTGCATGATAGTAATGCTCTGAGTTTTTATAATTTTAAATTTCTTTTTAAGCAAGTGTTTTGTACATTTCTTTTCAAAAAGTGCCAAATTTGTCAGTATTGCATGTAAATAATTGTGTTAATTCTTTTACTGTAGTATAGATTCTATTTACAAAATGTTTGTTTATAAAGTTTTATGGATTTTTACAGTGAAGTGTTTACAGTTGTTTAATAAAGAACTGTATGTATATTTTGTACAGGCTCCTTTTTGTGAATCCTTAAAAACTCAACTCTAGGAAGCAACTACTGTTTATTATACCAAAAGGCTGGAAAAGCTCCAGGCCAGACTGTTACAGGCTCCGTGCTAAACTTTGAAATTCCTGAGAGGTCCCAGACCGGGATTCTACTTGTTCCAAGAAAGGGTAAAGCTTCTAAACCATATTATCTTTCTTGTCTCCAAGCATGAACACAAAAGCATGTTACACAAAGCTGCTTTTACTTCTTCCATGTGGAGAAACTTACATTTTGAATTAGAACAATACCCACACCCACTTGAAGATCAAGTTCTTCCTGGGAAAGTCACGTTCCCCAGAGTTTAGAGGTGGTGTTGTCTTTGCCTCTACTGGCCCTTGAGAAACAACGTAGATAAAATATTTTTCTATGTTTTATGTTATGCTACAACACAATAAAAATATAGTTTATAATTATATGCAAGTGAACACTTGGAACTTTTTTCTCAAACATCCCCCCTACCTTCAACACTATGCTGTCCAATAGATAGTGAGAGTCCTTAAAACGGGGCAAGGAGTCTGCTCACTTGGACCGGCTCCCCACAGGCTTCAGGAACACCATACAACTAGCCCAGAATCGATCCATTCCCTGGTATTTACATCTGCCTCATCAGAAAACATATGCATGATAGAATTTCTTAGGACAAAACAGACCAAGATGAAGGTATTAAAAAACTCTCTCGTTAACCATGAACATACGGTAGACAGTTGATAAAATAACTCTCATCCTGCGTGGTATGCTGAGGAAGGAGGGTGACTCGGGGGAGAGAAGCTACACTAACATGGAGGACTAACAGCTCACTGGTCAGTGTCTATTTTCTTTATTGGAAGTTTGGAACTGTGATGCTTACAGTGGACTGTTGTGACTATACAAGCAGTAAAAAGCAGCCAGCTATGCTTTACACCATGGTTTCACACAAAGCAGATAAAGAAGTATCAGAATACCTAATTTACTATTTAAAAAAAAAAACTCCTAAGGGCAGATGGCAGAAGAAGGCTGGAAAAAAATCACTACGGGAAGAAAAGGCATAAATAAGTCTTACAAGAAAAAGTCCCAAGAATCACAAAATCTGCAGAAGCTTGGTTAATCAAATACTGCAGTACTGATTTAATCAGTATAAAATCGAGAGAGCTTTTAGATCTGTAATAAAAATCCAAATTTGGGAAGGGCAAACTTTAAAACAGCAGCCAAGTAGAGAAGGTGGGGAGGGGGGTGAGTGAACAGGCACGTTGGAACTGTGGGGACAGGGAATCGACCACTGTCAAACCAGTGTAAGTTTCTTGGTTTCTCATGGAAAACATTTTATACACCTATTTTTTTCCTTCCATACTTAATTCTGTCGGTGTCCAGATATGTCTGTTCCATTTTTTGTCTTGTTTTTGTTGATGATATTACAACATAACATTGCATTTCCTCCAATTCCTGGACAGTGTGGAAAAATTAGATGATTTCAAATACTTTCTTCAGCTCCACAATAAGCTGCCAGTCACTCTTCTGCATTTCATCTCTGAACCAGTCTTTGAGGGCATCGATGGACTGCCGGCTGATCTGTAACGCCCGAGGCACAAACAGGGTCAACAGAACACAGCACACACCAAGGAAAGCTTGAGCAGAAACAACAAAAGCAGCACTTGCCCACGAGGGAACTTGTTAGGATGCGTCAGACACAAGGGGACCGGAAGTCCTGGCATTCTGTTAGTCTGTCCTACTGAGGGAGGACTTTCCTCAGCAGAGACCAGGTTCTGCTACAGTTCAAGGCCTCATGTACACCCCAGCCCCATGATTACAAGTTCAACCTCCTTGTCAGAGCTACTGAATACAGAGGAGAGGTATTCCCCATTTCTACACTTGTGCTGAAATACTTACCTTACTGACGAGGATGTCTGTGGCTTCAAAATGTCTTCCAAACATTTTGGGAGATTCACCAGGGATAGGTTCTATTTTGACACAGACCTCTTGTCCTTTTTTCGCAACATCCACTTGTTTATGGTTTATTTCAATACTTGTTACTATTCCAATGTCAACAAACTATAAAATAAGATAGTACAGTGTATATAGAGGAGCTCAGGACTGAAGCAGAAGGGCCCTTTCTAGAGTCTGGCAGTGTGAATCTGCACTTAATACTGAAGGCCTCCACAGTGTTGCTGTCTCACTGGTGAATGAGGGCTGGCACACCATATAGCCTATGTAGTGACTAAGAGTGATCACTGATGTGTTTATCTTAAGGAACTTCACAGGTGCTCTGTCATTTTCCATTTCTGCTCTATACTTGATGTGACAGGTCCTGTCTCAAGAAGGAACAGACACCAAGGTTCTGAGTCAGGAATTGAAGAGAGCAGCCAGCAGGCATAAAGTCAGAAACCTAGCCAGGGACAGACATGCACAGTTTAAAGATGACAAGTTGTGAGCAAATGAGTAACATGATCTCAGGCTTGGAGAGTACGCTCAAGCTGCTTTGAGAGAGATACAGGAGAGTAGGTGGAAAGACTTGGTTTGGTGTAGGAGACCAAAGGCACACAGAAAATAATTACTGCAAATACATGTCCAGTGAGATAAGGCAGGCACACTGACAAGGTGCCAGCTCCCACGGAAAGAACCGGCTCTGGGACAGGAAAAATACTAGATGAGTCTGGAGCATCTCACTGTACCAGAAAATGCTCATTGTGCACTGTGGCCAGGATAGAGGTGCCGGCTTGTGAATGGACTTCTACTGAACAAATGGATAATCTGAGGATCAAAACAATGATGACGGGTTGGCTAAGGGAGCCAGAACCCACATGGCCAACAGCAGTTCAAAACCTGGACCCAGTGGCTTGAAAAGTGCCAGGCACATGTGCATGCATGCCCCACACCCCAACAAGATCAAGACATGGAAAAGGGGTTGCTGCTTGACTACACCCCACTGGGGTACTTTCTCTATTTGCCTTCCTGTCTCTGCTGAGTGCACACATCCTCTGACTGACAGCAAACCCAACAAGATCGTGGACTGTAACATCAAAACAATCTAGAGGGTACTTGATAAAACAGGTTGATGGAAAGAAGGTTCTTTACAAAGGTGAGGAGATGACAGTTTTGCAACTGTTTATATAGCTAGCACTTAGACAAGGGTTGTCAGTCATACTGAAGCCACTGGGACAAAGGTTGCTGAGAAACAGGATGTTTGCAGGATCCCTCAGTACTATTCAGGTTCCTCAGTAATTACAGAGGGAAGATTTGTCTGTCTTTTTAATTTACTGGGTCGTCAGGAAAGTCATGACCGATTTTTTGCACAGACAGAATATTTACTTTGAGTTTTTTGTCATAGGACATAAAGAGAAAATGAAAAATCACCACCCAAGGAGGGGAGTGGCCACAGTGCAAACCCTTCTCCATTCTCTTCCTGCGATTTTGGGTGTGGGCATACATGCACACGCACCCAGCGTGATTTTTAAGTTGCCAGGTCCAGGACTTGAACTGCGGTAGGCCATGGGTGAGTCCAGCACTTTAGCCACCACACCATCTGCTTTTCTAATGGAGACATTCAGTGGCACTTTCCCCAATTAGAGCTCGCATCACTCATGGTGATGGGGTATGCACTGTGCAAGAGGCACACACAGCACCTGGGTAGGCTCCTCTCCAGTAAGTCCTGTATCTTATCAGAAGAGAACAGAGTCCCAAAAGGATGGAGGGCTGTTCTTGCCAAAAATTTTAAGAGGGCAATAATTAAATGTATCTTGTAAACTTAACACCAGCAGGTACTAGGGCTCAGTACACTAAGGAACGTCATTACCTGCCAATACTCAGGTGCACAGAAGGTGATAAGCTTTGCTTGTTTGAGTTTTATTTCCACCGTTTTCCCCTACTGAGATAAGAACACTTAACTGTTCAGAGGGGAGACATGGTGGTCAATGTGTGCCAGGACCCTGAGGCACAAGCACAGAGCTGGGCTGCCATCACTCTTGGGCCCTCATTGACTACTTTTTTTTTAAGTACACTGGCACTTACATTTTTGCTTGGGACACACATAGGTGTCCCTTGTTTCACCTGGCCCGCTTCCACAGTCACGCCCATCACTATTGGATCTCGAGAATTGAAAATATACTGAGGGAGGATTTTCATCTTGCAGGGAAATACTGCTATGTGCCTGAAAGGAAAAAAAAATAATTTTTAAGCTTGTATATTTAAACATAAGCAAAACAAATACAGAGAGACTCAGGTTGCTCTCATGAGATGAGCAGCTTTCTTGAGAAGCTGCAGCCCAGGATGCCCATTCGCTGCCATGCTCCCTTTATTTCTCCATCTTTCCTCTTCTCTCGTGCCCAGACTAATAGGCTGAGCTTGCCCCTGAAGATGCCAGACACTGCAGCCAGATTCAAGGGTTCAGTCAAGCAGCACCTGCAACAGGACACTGTGTGCGTGTGTCACCTATCATGGGGATGAGGGCATCGGTCCGGATCCTGTTCTCTGCCAGGCTCCCAGACTGATGATCCTAAAGGCTACCGTGAGGTCCATTTCCCTGCTTATCAAGTGTATGCTTAAAATGCCTTACAGTTTCGACCAGATAACTGAACCACTTCAGGTTTCATAATCTAATATTGAACTTGTCAGCTCTACTTTTTATTATTTTGGCTTTTGTCATAGGGCACATGTGCTCGCCAGAGAGACAGTGAGAAATCGCCCAGCTGTGTCTCAGTCCCCTCTCTTCCACTCTCCTGGGAATTTTAGGCACACATGAATATATGCCCGGCGTGATTTTCTGCTGGGTCCAACTCAAACCATCGCCAGCCATATGGGAGTCCAGTGCCTTAACCACCACACCAACAGGTTGTTGACTCCTTGGTCAGCTCCCAAAATGAGCCATCATTCGGAAGCTAGTATCACTCTGATATAAAACATCGAAGATTCTTGCCTGGGTTGTAGGAGCCTCTTAAGAGACTCTCCCTGACAACCCAGGTCCTCATACAGCAGTAACAACCAGTCTGGTAGGGACCATACAACCCTTGGCAATGGCTTCTTCCATAACTCAGGGGAAGCTCAATCCTTCCCATGGCCTGAAAGGTCCAGTATGACAGGGATCCCACCAACTTCTCTGACCCCATCTACTCTGCCTCAGCCAATGTGGCTGCCTCTGCCTTTGAACCCAATCCTGTCTACAGTGCTATTCTGCCCGGACACTTCCCACATATCTGCATGGCTTCCTGTGTCTCTTTCAGATCGCTGTTTTTATAAGACACCTGGAGAAGTGTCATACTTTCCCCAACCACATTCTGAATGAGAGTCCTTCCTTGCTTTGTTGCACATATACCTATTTCACACATGTATTGGTCGTCTTCCAATGAATGAGAGGCCCCAAGCTACAGGTGGGGCCCCACCCAGTCTCTGACAGTTTTCTAGCATCTGCTGCAGTGTTGGCACTGTGAGTACCACCATGTTGGTGAGAACATTCTCCTCTCCCATAGAATCCCTTGCCTTGGTTCTGAATTTTCCGCACCATTTTTGTTACTTCCAATCCCAGATAAGCCACTTCAGTAAGAAACAAACTGAAAGACCAGAGGGGACTTGTTTGCACAGTGCTCGACTGTGCCGAGGGTGCGAGCTTCTGGTTTACGACATCGCCTTGAAATCCAGCCTCTACTAGATGAACAAATGCCACTCACTTGTCTTTGGTAATTCCCAACCTACTTCATTACCAGTAATCAAAAGTAAATGAAAACAGCAACTTACTTAAATTCTTCTTGTTTCTGTTTCTTGTAGTCTTGTCTATATTTTGTAAAGGCATCAAATAAATGATAGATAATTTCTGCACTGAAAATTCTAACTCCTAAACTATCAGCCATTTCTTGTGCGTCCCGTTCAATTCTCACATCAAAGGCCAAAATTACGGCATATCTGAAAGATTAAAGCATATCAAAGATCATTCAATAAAAAGTATGTCACAGAGAACAGTTTTAAGAAAATAGGTTAACATGAAAGTCTTCTTAGCAGAAGAGGAATTACTTACTGAGGATCATGTTCCAACATCACTGAAGCCTTCATAACATCTTTTTTGTGGACTGGACCAATATTAATTCCTGCATACTGTGAAAAGGGAGTTTGGGGGTTTATCTGTATATATCAGGTAAAT